AGGTATAGAACTGTCCCATTTTTTTGCTCAATGTACTTGATCCCTTTGCTCTCGAAAATCTTTCTAAAGTCTAAGGAAACGTTTGGACAACCCCCTTTTTAAAAGTCTAAAAGTGCTAAAATACATGGGGGATAAATCCGGAAGTCTAGGAGGGATAAGAGAGAAGGGGTACGGCCTTGTTACACGTTTCTTGTTCCATTTTTTTTAGGAAATTAACAAGAGATTTTGACGTGTCGCTGCGTCTTGATTTAGTTCCATTGACTGATCACACTGTGTGTAGAGAGAAGGTATTTAATTTTTGAAAATTAGGTATAAAATATGCTTTTGATAATATTTGGAGTTCATCTTATCACTTTTCTCCATTCTCTTTATTTTTAGTTTCTCGTTATATCAAAAAGCAGCAAAAATCATAAATGCTTTGAAAAACACTTTAGATTCCTTGAACCATGTTTTAAGATTTTTTCTCCTCAGTGATGATAATAACGAATCTCGTTTTATTGCAACATTTAAGTAAACCCAAGTTTCGTCTATTGTGGCAACATTTTTCCATTTCTTTCCGGATAAGTATTTCTCATAATGAATTCTACAGCGCGTTCGGCGATATGTCGTGGAGAAAGATGATGCGCATTATGTTCCTCGCCTTTTTAAGATTCAAATCCGCATTAATCGCTTTGTTTACAGTTGAAGCTGGTAGAGACATTAGGTTTTTTTGAAGCAGGAAAGATGAAAAATTAACATTTAAATTAACGCCTTCGCCGGGAATCGAACCGAGGACCTCTGGAAAACCGGCCCCAGTGTGCAAAACACCATACCACGAAGACACGCCAAGAAGGTGGGAGAAATACCTTATAAGCTGAGCATTTTAATGATTTTGCAGCTGTTTTTCGACTTCGCGGATTTTTCATTTAAGATTAAAGATCCTACCTTTGCAACATTCGAAACATTTCCTTTACCCTTAGATACGCATTTGAAACAATTTTTCCCTGGAAGCTCAATTTTGACGTTTTGTTCCTTTACTGTTAATAACATTACCTATCGTAGCTTTAGATATCGGAAATCCATGGCTTTCACAAGGTTGTTTAACAACTAGATACGAATCATTTTCTTAGGAAAGAACGCAAACATAGCCTTCCATTCATTGCCTCTTTAAAAGCGACATTTTGCGCCAAACCAAACTGTCAGCAGTAATTAATTTGTACTTTCAAAAATATAGTTGCAGTTTAAAAAAAATTCTTAGCAGAAGATTATTTTTAACAGCAAATCAAAGTCGTCTAAAAATGTGCGAAGAGCCTCTGTATCATTTTAATATTGTACAGTGAAAATTTAATCATAAAAACTGGCAGAAATATTATGATTTCATAACTATGCTGAACAAAATGCCACGATAATTACAATTGAATAACACTATTATAAAGATTTAAATCTGCATGCAACGGCTATTGCAAAGAACGGTTCTAATTAATAGCTAACGTGCCAATTAAGCCAATTAGCTATGTAATATCTAATTAGCTGAATTTCATGGCAAATCACGTTATAAGAAGGAACGTCTTTGGACTCTTTGACGGGAACTGAGTCATGTTTGATTTAAACTTGGAAGAAGAAACCCATAAAACTTGGAACGAACAGAAAGGATTTCGCGACGATTAGTCACTCCGAAAATAATGAGTCAGAATATTGTATTTGCTCACTAACGTTTACTAGAACTGAATTCGATTGCATTTATGCGGATGGAGTATAAGAGAATTGATGAATACGAATTTAAGAGGGAGTAAAGGTTGCTCATACAAGCACTTAAAAAGTAACAGTTACCATAATACAATGTGTGGTGGAATGTGAATGCGGATGTATAGTAAGTATGTATAAACTGTTTTGTAAAATACATCCTACAATTTCAAGAATTCATTTTGAAGAAAATAAATTAGTCCCAAGTCCCAAAATGTACATCAACACAGCAAAGCCTAAAAAATGTGTTCTTTTTAACTTTTCACTAGAGCAAACAGCTTTATGAAAACAATTCTTAGTGCATTTTTAATTTCCTCCAATACTTGCCTAATATTTTATGTCAATTTTTCAAGTTAAACGAATCAGCTGGTTTAGGAAACTGCAGTTTCAAAAGTAATATAAGTTTCTGCGCATTTAAAAACAGCTGCCAAGTTTATTCATCTATAAATGCACAATGAAACGCTTCTGCACATTTAAAAAAATCTGATGTGTACACCACATGACTTCCTTGTACGGAATATTCAATTATGCGCAATTTTTCCTGCATTTCATTTAAACTTATTGGATTGAATTAAATACACTTCGTCGATAGCTCATAAACCACAATAGAATAAATGCACTCTTTAAAATTCACTATATTTGTTTACCATAGCGACACTCTGGCGCTAGGTTCACTTAACAGCGTTATATTTCATTCATATTATAACTCAGAGTGCACAAAATTTACATCATTTGAAGAATTATCTAATCGTTGCCATATGTTTTATTCAAATACTATAATAAATCCAAAACGATGTATAAAAGAAATTAAGCAAACAAAACAAAAAGCAACAGTTTTTCACAGGCGATTCAGTATTTCTCATTTAATTAATTCACTTCACTTCGCAACAAGGCAAAATACATAAAAACTCAAAATATCTATTTTAAAAATTACGAAGTAAATCTTAAACAGTTATTTCCTCGAAAACATTCCAGAGAGGATTAAGCATGATTTAATTCGCAATAATAAATGAAGGCGTTATCTTTGTTGTTGCGAAGCTTAGTCTTTTTAGATTGACAACAAATCTACTATTCTAACGTTTCAAATGTAAACAAATATGTCCGCCATGTTATTTAAAAATTAGGCTTAACCGCACTTAAACAACTTTTAAATTCAGAAGTCAAACAACAAAAATCAGCGTTATATTTTCAAATTTGAAAATATAACGCTGACTTTTGTTGTTTAACTTCAGAATTAGTACTTGTTCAGCGTGTTATTGTGTCTTAATCTTTCAAACTGCTGCTAATTCTACAAATATTGCTTGCAGATTTCCTAAAGCCATAAAAACCTTAATCGTAAGATATCAAAAACATAATTCAATCATTTTTAAAGCAAAAAATGCACAATTTACCAACATATAAGAGTAAAGAAACTGAGATCGCTGAGCCGGGTAACAGAGTGGATATATATACATATATTTATATATTTTTGGTGCGGCTGATTGCAACCAAAATACGAGGTGCGAATCTACATGTTATAGCAGTCCAATATACAAAATTTCAACGTTCTGAGGCTACTCATTTTTTAGTTATGCGAGATACGTATGTACGTGCAGACACCATGAAAAATTCTCTTCAGAATTCCTTTTAAAGCAGTTTTATAATTTTTTGGAAAAAAAGAATGTTTTATTCTGTCCTTAAGTACAGATGTCACGCAAACGCATCATTAAATTGCATTCGATAGCGGTCAAAATGGATATTTTCGTTGATATATGCTGCCTGAAACTTTTCGCGATTACAAATACTTCCTTTTTACTTCGTAGAAGGAAGTAAAAATGCCAAATTTATTCACCTAGAAGTTCATAACCAGTTATTTACGGAACCCTTACAGTAGACATTAGGATTTTCTTAATTGAATTTTTGAAAATTATATTCTCAGTGTCTTCTTTATACCTGGCTTTTAGAGTAAATTTTATTAACTTCGAATACAGAAATACTCTTACTAATTGATGGATATTATGGTCCTGTCTAATAATGAAACAGAAGGTCTCAATTGTGTTTATTCTTTAAACGTTTCAGTGAAAAACTAACTTTTGACTTGTCACCGTTTGGGTTCCGACCCTACATTATATGACAGGGATGGGAAAACTACGGCCAACAGGAAGGTTCCATCCGGCCCGTGGGTAGAATTTTAATTTCTCGGTCCGAGACAAATTAAAAGAAATATGAATTTATATATTATGTACCATTTCCTTTTCTGCTTTTTTTTAATATTTTTTTCTTCCTTTTTTTCAAAGGGCTGATGACCTTTTTACTTTCTCTATTTTTGTTCTACAAAACATAAATGGACGGAAATAGCAAGGACTAAGTGTTAAAAGCTGAAGTTCTTTGTTAGTTATAGCTGTAAGTTGGCGCCAACAAGCGTTATCTCTTTCTCGGGGAGAAAACATATGGGAATCCAATGTAGGTGAATAAGAACTTCTCAGAAAAAACTTAATCTTAAACTTAATTAACTTAAATTTTAATAAGAAAATTTAATCTGTTTGCTGGGCAGTTAGCTAAGAAGGGCTTGTCTCATTTTCCGAGGTTAAATTCAATACCGTCAGTAAATGAAGAGAAGCTTAAGAATTATGAAGACTGCTTGAAAAAACAGCATTTTTAGTTCGAACGAAGATTTCAAGATTTCGGAGCCATTCTAACGGAATTGGATACTTTCAGCGTAAACTGTGAAGCAGTGAGGTCAGATTTGCAGCTAAATTAATTGAGTCGCAATCTAACAATCATCTCAAGCAGTTTTTTTTTAATGTGCCAAAGTTAAGAGTTTTATAAATCATTATCGAAAAAAGTTTCCCAAATTTAATATTTCACGCCCAGAATATCAGTGCTGTTCATCTTATATATGTGAACAAATGTCTTCAACTTAGCCTCGTTCTTTAGAATCAGTACATCTATCTCACTTCGAATCTCAATATATGAAACTTTTAAAAATGAAATCGCAATTTCATGTATCTCATTAACATATTTAAATTGTAATACCTGGATACTTGTTTTTAAAATTTTGGAAAAATTTATCTTGGTCCGCAAAACGTTTTGTTTTCGACTTTTGGCCCGCGACCGAAAACGTTTGCCTTTCCCTGTTCTATGACGATTACTGCTTGTATAGCTGCATGCTATCACCCTGTAACGTTTTGCCCCCCTTGTTCAGATTTCCCCTGCATATGTGCCAATATTCAAAGAGAAATAGTCCAAGTTTCATTATTGTTAATAAAATGTCCTCAAAATGCTTTATTCCTTTACAGCATATCTGAGACATTCCCCCTGTTACAAGAATGTCTCACTCTCCGAAGAAAAATGTGCTCCGAAGTATAGACATTTAATTCACTTGTCTGAGAACGTCGATGAGCAAAGGAACGTCGATGAAGGTCTCAGAGAATCCTGCTGGTAAGATTTTTCTTCTTAATTTCAAACTCATGGAGGTTTCAACTTTCAGAATGTAACGTCTCAAAAGTAGAAGATGAATGTATAAAAGCATTTATAAACGTAATTTTACGAGGAATAAAAGGGAAAACAAACATAAAACATTCATAAATACAAAATTAAGGGAAAAAACCTTTGATTTGCGTAGATTTTTCACCAAGTAAAAACTATGTCACATTTCAAGATTATATTCAAAGAAAAATTATACTGTAAAATATTAAATGAATTAATTAACCGTTTTATGATATTCATCGCATGAACCAGGAATGTGATCGACGGTTTTAATTGTTTTATTTATGGTTATTGCCCCTCTTGACCAAGAAAGCATAAGCAATCACTTCTTATTCTGATTATATCGAACATTATTCCCTTGAGTTACGATATGATAACTTTTGAATTAGAGATTTACATTTTTTAAATTTAACATTATTCTAGTTTTATTTTAGTCATAAACATTTTAACGCAAAATCAATAAAAAAGTTTGAAAACAATGCATCTGTAGTAATTTTATGCAATCCATGTACACTAAAGTGTCAAACGATTTGATATATCAGCTTAATACTTCGTAAGCAATTCTTGAGAGAAGGCATTACAGATATCAAAAATTATTATCTATAGGAAATGATAAACATAGACCTTTGATACTCACATGCAAGTGAAGAAACTGCAGACGTTGTAACCTGAATGCCTCCAACTTTCTGACCTTCTGGTCTTCCCATAACTCAACTGAATGCAGGTCCATCAGCGGCCGAGCGGTAAAGTCGCTGAACACTGGTAGTTCGGTCCGAGGTTCGATTCCTGAGAACGGGTTGGCTACATGGGCCTTTTTGGTGGTTTTTCTCCCGTGTAACATACACTGGTGTGCAAAACTTAAGCAACAGGTGTTTTTTTTTTCCATAACTTCACGAGAAATCATCTGAGAGACAAGAAATTCAGAAATGAGAGACAGCATTTTGTATTTAAAAGATGAAGAAAGCATAGTTGCATAAAAATGAATACAATGCATACAGTATAGAACTAAACAAAAAAGGTTTTATTGAACATAGTATCGTTATACATGGTTGTCTTTACAAGAAGAAGAACAACAAGCATATGTTGCCTATTATGGGATATGCCCTCCCCTTACTGAAATAGTTGCTTTGCACCGTTTTTCCATACTCGGCACCAGATTGTTCAACAGATCTTGAGGTAAGAGTTCCCATTACTCAATCAGCATCTGTTTCAGTTGTTGGGTGTTTCCTCAGAGGACATAATCGTGCCGTAAGGCGTTTCCATAAAGCATCCCACACATGTTCTATGGGATTTAAATCAGGGAAGTACGCTGGCCAATCCATTCGAGTGATATCCTCCCTTTCCAATAGATTCTGAACAGCAGGAGTACGTTATGGCAGGGCCTTGTCATCCACAAAAACGACGTCTGCTCCAATGGCACCTCGGAACAGACGCACATGCGAAGGATCACCTTCTGACAATAGCGATTTCCGATTACAGAACCTCTATCGAAAACATGGAGCTCTATCCGCACGTTCAGCATAATGTCTCCCCAGACGAGAACTCCAGTACCACCATAACGGTCTCTTTTGCTGATGTTACTGGGGTGCTTCTTGCGCCACTCTAAACGATGGCGTCGCCGGCCAACTTTCAAAGGGATGCAGCGTTTAGGACGGCGGGCGAATAGGCCACCTTTCTGGAGGTGTCTGGATGCAGTAAACCGCGACACTTGTCGCTCAGTTGCTGTACACAGTTGCTGAGCTATGGCGCTTGCTGACTGGTTTCGGGCTCTTTCCGCCTGCAAGACGATATATCGGTCATCCACTGCTGTTGTTGCTTCCACCACCAACCTTTATAACAAAATAGCTGTACCTATGGTTTTGAAGGCTTTCCAAGAGCGCGAAACGACACTTTTATTGTTTCCGAACTCTTCAGTTACATTGGTCACACTACGCTTCTCTTACATTTTTCCAGTCATTCTTTCACGTGTGAAGTCATCCAGGTCATTTCTTCTAGCCATATTTCACGAAAGAACTTACTTGCAGGAAATGTCTTTAATTGCGTCTCTGTCATTCCGTTTATTGTAGTCTTGAGTTTAGCGCTCCCATCGCATGCGTTTTGCGTACTCTCACGTCGCCTGTGACGTTTGATTTGCAGACCAGAGTATATACGAGCCAGTTTCTCTTGGAAAGTCTTCCACGAAGGCATCCCTCCCCTTTGGGAGATAGCCCCTTATCGTAATCTCATAAACCAAAACAAATCAGACCAGATTAATGCACCATTATCAATGTTCATATGCTTGAGTATGCGAATATGTAGTCATTTACCAACTGAAGGTAGTAAGAAGGGCCCAGCTCCACATTTTTTTAAATTTTCGGAAAATTTACAAAAGTTTCAAAATTTCATTTTTTAACTTATGTTCTAAACGTTTGTCATCGTTAAAAGTGCTAATAAAATTGTTTTTTAATGCTACTCCAATGCAAAGAACAAATTTCTTTTAACATATAAAGACCCGTGAACACAAAATCTAGTAGAGCTGGGCCCTTCTTCCTGCAAGCCCTTCAGTTATAGAATATAAAACTGCAATCCATATGTTGTATTAATTTTAGGTGCATATTCCTGCCTTTATTCTTCCTTTTATTCCAATATGAAATCTTATGCGTTATTTAGTATCATCTGATAGAATTTGTGGATGCTCAAAATAATAATAGGTTGATTTTCACGGCCCCCACAATAAACGTTAAATATGTAAACCGCGTGCAATCCTACCAGTCTTTTTTCAGTTTAACTTCCATTTGCCAAGATATATTAATTTTCTTTTTTAAGTTTAAAGATTTATGTAAAAAAATAGTACTTTCATTTTCTATTTGCCGTTGACGAGCAGCGTAATATCGTAGCAGTCTTTTTTTCAATTTAAACACTGGAGGAAAAAAAAGTTGAAAATTTTTAATTTACCGAGAAATAAGAAACTGTCGTATCTTTTTTCCAGGAAAAAGCTACATTACATCGCAATCGAACATGCGTAAATAGCCACAAAAGGAAATTATATGTAAGAGGAAATGTTGGGGGGGGGAGGTTCAAATGCTATAAACAAAAAATGAGCATTCGATTCGACAACGGCTCGGGCTCTCTTTGCATTTTTTTTTTTTTTTTGCATGACTATTTTCCGAAATTCACGAAACATTTATCCGGAACGAGGTTTTCTTCGGCCCGTGATATGAAACCAGCTACCGAGAACTGGCTTCGGGGGGGGGCGGGGACGTGATTTCTACGAGGCCGGTTTAACCAAGTTGGTCTTGCGTTCAAGTAAATGCCGAAAGTAGCTTTGGCGATTTATGGGAGAAATTGGTTGGCAAGTAGGCCTCTTAATAATAAAAAGACTGAAACTTAGTATATACCTATATTGCCCCAAAGCAGTCAAAATGACTGAATCGACGCTCATAATATGTCAGATATGAATGATGAATATGACTGAATCAGTCTGTAAGAATAATAGATGTTTTTCTTTTGCAGCGCCTTCAACGAGTTCGTGTTGTGCAAGTACATCCACGTGAGCCGGGACTGCGGGCAGGAAGCTGCCGACTTCCTCCAACAGCATCTCGACCGCATTTCCAGCCCACTCATACACGAACATTGCGCCCATTACACCTATGCCAGGGACTCTTGCACATCTTCCTTCGCTCTCCCTTTTAACGCAGACATAATTTCCTTACCATTTCTTACCATCCTGGCAGTAACACTGTTGAAAGTCATCTCTTGGAAACATGACTTATAAATGAAAGCGAATGACAGAGAAGTCTGAGCCACGTAAATTTTATAGTCCTGAGTGTAACTAAGAAGATCCAAACTTACTTCTATCGGTGTTTCAGGGTCTTTGTTTTACAAAGCTTTTATTCCCTCCTACAGTCCCTTATAAAATAAATGAACGAACTTCAAAAAATAAATATATAGTATGTAATTTCGTTTAAAGAATTATTTAATAAATTCAATGTGATGCTCGAAAACCATTTTTGAAACTAGAATTTCTTAATGGAAGAAGTTTAATCATAAACGTAAGCTTAGTCAAACGCAAATGATTTTTATTTGATATATTTAAACTTGGTATGTATCCATTAAATGATATTTCAGCTATTAGGCTGTCCGAAAAATAATGCAGGTTTTTTAAGTTATATCTTTAAAGCATCATAACTCAACTCAAAAACAATTTTATTAATCAAAATAAGCACCAACCGAATCAATGCATTTTCCCAACCTCATATAAGTTTATTTATGACGGCAGAATAGAATTCTGAAGTTATGGACGGGATAAAGTTGTCAAAGGCGTTTTTGACCTTTGACCTCGTCTTGGTTTCTGAAGCATTTCTTCTGCAGAATGTTATCCAGATGTTTGTAAAGTGGTAATCGGTCGGCGAGAGGTCGGGCGAATATGGGGGAAGAGGGAGAGTCTCGTATCCCAATTCGTTAAATTTCTGTAGGGTCTCTTGCACGACGTGCGGCCAAGCATCGTCATGGAGAAAAACTGGACGCTTTCTGTTGACAATGCCGAGCACATGTGTTGCACTTTTTGGTGCATTTCGTTGATTTGCTAACAGTATTTATCTGCTGCAATCGTTTCGCCCAGATTTAGGACGCTGTGGTATATCAGACTGGGCGCAGACCACCAAACAGTCACCATAATTTTCTTTTGGTACAAATTTGGCTTTGGAAAGTGTTGTGGTGTCTGACCGCGGTCTAACCACTGAGCCGAATGTCGCCAGTTGTTAGAGAGAATCTACTTTTCATCGCAGTAACCATTCGATCAGGAAAAGTGTCTTTTTTGTTGCGGAGAAAAAGTGCAGATGACAATTCAAAACGGCGATTTTTTTAAATTTTCATTCAATTTGTGAGGCACCCACTTATTGAGCTTCTTTGCCTTTCCTATACGATTCAATTGATCAGAAATCCTTGTTTTGCTTACACCAAGCTCCTCCGCAAGTTCTCGAACAGTGGTGCACGGATTTGTTTCAACTTTCAAATCATAGTCATCAACAGCTGAAGAGCGTCCACGACCTCTCTTGATCTTCCAAGTCAAATTTTCCACGACAAAACTTTTGGTACCACCGTTGAACTGTAGATTCATTAACACATTTCTCGCCGCATACTCTGTTGACATTTCGAGCCGTTTGCGCTGCGCTGTGGCCTAGCTTGTACTCATAAAAGTAAATTTGCAGAAAATTCCGTTTTGACATCTAAACAAAAACGCCTAGTAAATATTTTTGGAAATAACTTTGGAAAAAAATGATTATAGAAGAAATATAGAACGAAAAAAGAGCTTCAAAATGATATATAAATCACTGTAATTCAAAATATTTTTGTTGCTAAAAATGTACAGGAAAGATAAACAATTGCAAAAACCTGCATTACTTTCCGGACAACCTGATAAAAATGACTAAAAATGACTTAATTTATATTTCTAATTTGCCAACTTTAAGATATTTTAAAACTTTAAGAAGTTTCAAGAATATTTACTAATTTATATTTTCTTTAATCTTGTTAATTTAAACAATTTTGAAAACCCTTCTAAGAATTATAAGAGTTTAAAAAGGTGAGCTTAATTTAAATTTCTCTTCCTGATTGTGATATGCCTAAATGTAAGTAACCAAACGTTATGCCATATATTAAACAGAAATGATGTAAGCTTGTTATATAACCTCTTGTAATATAAGCTTGTAATATAATATTTGTCTTCATGTATTTGTTTTGTGACGAAACCTATTACACAGATGTTATAATATTTAAAATTTTATCTGTTAAAAGTGAGTGAATTTAATATGAGAGTCCGAAAACGATAGCGATGTTATTTTCTGTTGACATTTTTTATCTTTGACATTTTGTTTTCTTCTGTTGATATTTATATTTTCATAATTTCTATAGAATGCTAAAATCTGGTTAAAATTGCTTGAGTGAAAAATTCAGCATAGTTATTATTTTCATAATAAAGTGTAACTACCTTAACTTGATAAATTTTAAAGATACAGGAATGATGAAAAGTTCAAATATGTTGTTCTATGGGAAAACTATGAATCCTCTAAACAGCTAATCCTTTCAACTGCGGAAACGGAGCACGACCATTGTTCCGCTACTTCAGCATCTTTAGCCTATACGGCCTATTAAATTATACAAGTTTTTGCTGCATTTCATTTATTTAAACTAATTTCTTCGAATCTCAATAGCGATACATTTCTCTTTCAATTAATTCGGTTCTCACTTCGTTGCAAGGCAAAAATATATAAACTCAAAACATCTTCGTTAAAAATCGTAAAATACAGAAAAACATAAAACACTAAATACAACTTAAACAGTTGAAAAAACAATTTTTACAATTACAATTACAGTTTCTAAACAAAAGCAAACAATTCGGCCAGCGGACAAAAAGGCAGATTTTTCAGTTTTACTATGAGTCAAACTCGCCAAAAAAACACTGAAGGCTCAGAAACTGACTTAATTCACTATTCTACTAAGAACTTTCAAATGTAAAAAAATGGCGGTTTCGTTAGGCTTAGTGGCAATTGAACAACTTTTAAATGGCTTATTATAATTCTACAGTTATCGCATTCAGATTAACTGAACAATAAAAATCTTAACCATAAAAATCACATAATTCAATAACTTTTAAAGCAAAAAATATGCAATTCACCAACATATAAGAATAAAAAACGAAGCTCACCCAGGCAGGTTACAGAGGGAAATATATACATATTTGATGCGTCCGACTGCAACCAAAAAGGGAGGTGCACAACTACATGTTACCAGCAGTACCATACGCAATATTCCAACGTTCTGAAGCTACTCGTTTTTGAGTTACGCGAGATACATACATACAGACAGACGTGACTGAAAAAAATTTTCTTCTGAATCCATTTTAAATCCATTTTTCCGTTTCGGGAAAAAGAGTCCTTTATTCTAGTAGAGATGTCACACAAAAAGATCGTTCAAATGGATTCTAGAGTGGTCGAAATGGATACTTTCGTTGAAATATGATACCTGAAATTTTTCGCGATTACAATACTTCTTCGTACTAGGAAGTAAAAATTTATACGAGCATACTCGTTTTAATTTTTGCTATAAAGTGTAATTCATTCGCTCAATCGCAATAAATCGGCTGCATGCGGGCTTGTCATAGTGTCACTTTGAATTGACAGCACTTTGAATTTGACAGCTTGTCATTACACTTTGAATTTTTCTCTTTGCGTCTTTGCAGTTTTTATTGCACATATATCTATTTGAGGAAAAAGTGTAACAAATCCATAGGTTATTCTGCGAATTTTCAAAAAAATATTTAAAAGAAATCAAAACTGTCACAAAACGTTCATTTACAATAAATGATTAAAGCCGTTTTTAATTTTTCGCTGAAGCAATTATTATAAATTTATTATAAATATAGTTTCGTTCGAACAGGAATTGAAATAAATGAGCAATTAGTTAAAATAATCTGAAAAAAAGTTAAGTCAACTTTTATACATGATCATAAAAGTTCTTTTTTATTATTATTCTGTTCATCATTCTAACAAACAGCTGATGAAAAATAATGCAAATGTGTGTCAAAATATCGAAAGAGCATTTTTAATGTTTTTATTTGCTAAGAAAGAATAATCACAGAATGAATTTTAATGCACTTTGCTTATTGAAAACTTCTCCACTGTTGTTGAGCAGTGTGAAGCTATGTAGAAAATGTCGGATGAAACTGTGATATGCACTTTCGGAGTATCTGATGGCTCCAAAAATACATATCATAGTTACACATTTTAATTATTTATTCATTTAAGCTAGCAATTATAGCTTAACTGTTACGTAAAGTAATGTGGATATGAACCTGCGAGAAAGCTACATAAATGCTGATTTATAAAAATTTTGTCAATTCTTTCTTTGGAATACTGTCATGTTTTCGGAATGTGATGTGTGTAATTTGAATCTTAGTCGAAAATGTTGCGTTTTTCTTATTAATTTATCAAATTTTAAATAAATCTGCAAAAATAAAATAATGAAAATTTCTTAGAAATCTCATAAAATCATTTAATAGTGCAATTGTCACCCTGAAATTTTTGAGACACAGATGGTTTTTAACACTAGATTTCCCAAGGAAGTCATTTTGACTGCTTTTTAATTTCGATTAGAAAAACAATTATGTATATAATGACACAATTTCTTAGAATTTTGTGACTTTTTGTACAACATATAATGCGTTTATTAATAACAATTGTAGTTACCCCCCTTCTTTCATTTCCGGTATATACATATATGTGTTATACCAATATTGCCCAAAAGCAGTCATTTTGACTGCTTGGGAAATTTTAAATAATCAAATGACTCTTATTATTGAATTGAGTAAATTTCTTATATAACCAGTTCGGCGCTGTATTGAAATAACAGTTTTCATTTTTTTCGATTACCGTCACATGATAACATACATGTACATGATAAATTGTCGATTTGGGCGTATACTTGATAAGTTTCAGTTTCCCAATAAGCTAAAGTAGTACCTGTTATTCGAAGCTCAGTGAACACGTTATTCTGAAACTTGTCGAGCCATATACAAGTTGTGGAAGAAATATCACAACCGATAACCTTTCCACTAACATGTCACTCGCGACAAAATTATTGGCCAAAAAAAAACAACTCTAATTGGTACTATTGCAGGAAACAAAAGAGAACTACCCAAATCAGCTAAACAAACGAAAGATAACATGCCTCGTTTTTCCACTCTACGATATAAATCAGAGAATTGTATTCTTATAATATATAAAAGCAAACCAAATAAAAGAGTAGTTGTTCTAAGTTCTAAACATAAATTTGTAAAAATTGATAAAAGTAATAAAAAAATGTTACCGGAATCTGTTGAATTTTATAACAGCACAAAATTTGGAGTTGATATGAGGGATCAAATGGCCAGAAAATGTACAGTAAAAGCTAGTTCTCGTAGATCCCCCTTCAAATATTTTTCAATATTTTAGGTTTGGCTGCTATAAATGCTTGGATCCTTTACAAAGAAACAGCAGGAATGCAAATTCAATGAAAAGGGTTCTTGTTTCAGTTAGCAGAACAGCTTTCTATTGAATATAGAGCTGCAAGACAGAAAAAGTCATCCAAACATCAAGACCCACAATGATCAACTGCAATATCATCAAACGCAACCCATTCTAAACAACGCAAAATTTGTCAAGTACGTCTTTGCCACAACAACAAAACAAATAATATATGTGAAAAATGTCAAAAGTATGTTTGCGGAAGATGTACACATAAAAAGATTTCCACTTTCATCTGCACCTATGAAATTTTACGTGTGTTCAAAGTAGTCTCCTTAAGCATCAACTGACTTCTGCAGATGAATTTTCCCAAGATTAAATGCCATTCATTTCTTGGAGTCGATGAAAATGATGCATTTGTGGCCTCATCAATCTCATCTTCGGAATGTAAACGACGTTAATGCAAGTTCGTTTTTAGATTAAAAAATAGCCATACATAGCTAGATCGGCTGAATAGTGTGAACGTTCCATCACTCTGATGTGGTTTTGTTCAAGAACATTCACTTCTCGAAAAATTTCTGAAGACACTTAGTGGTGTACCAATTAGCTGTGACTGTTTTCTTGCCCTTCCAGCTTGATGGCTTTGACCAGTCCTGTACTTCTGAAGAAAAGGCATATATTACTTTTTTGATGGCATGTTGTCTTTTAACCATTGTAAGCGTGACATCATTTTCAAACACCCATACTTTACTTTTTTGACGTGTTGGAACATCAAAAAATGCTTTGTTCGTTTCATCACCAGTTAGAAGTTTAGAAATAATTATGTGGCCGCCGTCTTTAAGTAATTTACGGGTTTCTTTATTGATTCTGGCACGCTTTCTTTTTGGTGTTCAGTTAAAATATGGGAAACCCAACTAGTGTTTTCGTATGCAATTCTCCAAGAATAACTTTATGTATGGCGGCAGATCCAATATAAAGTTCCTTCTGATCATTTGGTAGGAGTAGCGATTATCATCGATTAACATTTTCCGTATGGCACACATATTATCCGGGATTATTGCTAACAACGGCCTTCCTGTGTGCTCTTCTTACTGACGAGAGTCGCGACCTCTGTGAAATTCCGTGAACCCCCTGGATACAGTAGCACGAGATGGATCTTCATTTTCGTGTGCTAAATTTAGACGTTGTAAGCATTCTTCTTGATTCAATCCCACTTTAAAATCATCGAAAACCAGAGCGCGATAATGTTCCCTCCATTTTTCTTTCTACCTACCAGTAGAATTTATTCTACGCTAAACTACTTGAAATTGGTCAGTGAAAAATAGACTTGCTAGGCTAAAATAGTTCATATTTTCAGATCTAACCGTTAATTTGTTTCTGCCACTCACGTCTGCGTGTATCTCAAAACTTTTAGAGTGAATTACGTATAAAAGCATTATAATGTTTAAAATTTTTCTCTGCTTTAAAAAACCGCTATAATGAAAACCTTCGAAATGCGCATTGAAAGGATAGAAATTAAGCAGCATGTCAATTAGCATATCATTAGTTTCTTAAAATAAAATAACAATATACAGATCGTTTAGAGAATTTTGAGGCTAATGCTAATGATATTTAAAGTGATTTAACTGAGCAGTGTTTTTCCACTTTATTAATACAAATAGTTGCACTCTGTTTCCTAAATTTATCAATCTGAAGTACAAGAATTTAATCTTCTTGAACGTGTAGCTTTTTGCTTAATACATAATACATTTCCTACGCAGTGTTGCCAGATCGTGCTATTTTTCGCAAATTCGCGACTTTTGACAAACTTGTGCTACTAACATTTTAGTATTTGTGATTTTGCGAAATTTTTTTCAACATCCATCATTTCCTTACGCTTTTTATTTGCGACTTCAAATATTTTTTAATATATCGTAAAATGATTTGTAAAACACAGAATTACGTACATTATATAATATAGTTTTAAAATTTTCGTTAAAGCTAAGATACGTGATTAAAACGACTTTAAAAATCGAAGTTACTATGTGGTCACTAAAACCACGTGATCTCTGACGTCATTTGCGAATTTTTGCGAATTTTTAGTCTTCTCTTGCTACTTTAGTTGAAATATTTCTGGCAACACTGTTCCTACACACTGTCTGAAATGTCTCAACGCATTTTGTTTAAGCGGTATCGTATTGTCACGACACTAACAGTTTCATTACAATTTGCTGCAGATATTAAGGTCCAACTGCTTGTTTTTTTATCAAAATCTATTTTATTACTCATCCACTGCAAGGGCCACTGCAATTAAGAAATTTTCGTTTGTACTTTC